TTCCTGTGATGGAGTGAAATGAGAATCATGCATCGAGTTTTTTTTCTTCAAGGTAATTTGCATCAATGAAAAATGAAGTGTTGAAGATGGTAGTGCATAACTCAATGATGAGCTTTACCAACACTTCATGATAATTAATTAACAGGATCACATTTTGTCGCCGTAGTTTCAATGCAAAACAGGTTGGAACGTTCCATTCATCCGAGATCGCGATTTTGAGTAATTAACTAATTATATTTTTCTACTCATATTGAGTACTAAATAAGTTGAAAGGTAATACCTTTAAAATGAATCCAATGTGATATCTGTGATTCAATTTTGATGAATCTCTGCATTATTTTTTGGGGGGTTGAACACTCAGCCTCGGTACTCTAAAGTACTCTAAATATTTTAAAATAGTTAATTAAATGCATGCACTACGATCAGGCAATTCCAGCGTTGTTCAGGATAGATAATCAATGTGATTTAATGGCCCGTATTTATAAAGGTCTTTCTTTTTATCAAACAATTTCTGAAATAAATTTATACTAACTTCAGACAAACCTTTCCCTACTCTCGTACAGCAACAAAAATTTATACCACTCTAGTTAATCTCCATGAAATCACAATGTTTTCTTTTAGAAATTAAATTTGGATAGTCGATTGAACAATCCATAAATGCATATAGAGGCCATTTTTAAAAATGCAATAAATTTAAATAAACAAAGTACGTATAGAAGAGCCAGAGAAGTCGCTCGACAAGGCTTCATTAGTTTCTTCAACTACGTTTCGCTGGCGTGATAATAATAAATAATAATGATAATAGCGGTTTCAGCGTTCATTAGGCCGTAGGCCTGTCGCCGATTCCTAACATCGCGGAACATTCACATCATTTTGCGGTTTCGAACTCGCAACCCACTGCTCCAATTCTGCTGTGCAACCGCCCGGCCTCCTTGCTGATTCTGACCAGAAACTGACGCACAGAGCTGGGATCGAACCCGCGCCTCTCTGCGCCAATCTTGGTACTCTGAACTGTAACCACTGGGCCACTATGTTAGAGGTATAAAAGTTAGGGGGTATAAAAGCATCCCATAGTGTCACTATGTTGGGGTATAAAAATATACAGCATCCTATAGCTTCACTATGTTCGGGTATAAAAAATATGTTATCAAAATACACATAGCAGTAATTCCCCATTAAAGGCAACAGGACGAGTTTATAGACTGAAAAACTTTGGGAATCTATTCCATTGCAACTCATAATTCTTCACTTCTTTGTTTATTTTTCACAAGAAATCCGTTTCAAAAAGTTAATTTCCATTTGTTAGGTAGTGCTTTTTATACTTATGAATAATCGACTTGTATGAGCATGTGTGAGAAGTTAAGGACCAGAATCTATTGACACCATTCACTGAAGTGACACAATCTTTCTATTTCTATTCATTCGCAGCGAATTGAAACTAAATTACAACTTTTGTCAACCAATTGCATAGATTTTAACTCGTGGTCAGTTATTGGTAGTTCTGCATAGTAATGTTAGATAATAAAATAAGTTTCAAGAACCGGTGATTATGTTAATTACAATGAGTATTTAGAAGAGAATACTCGAAGATGATGCAAGTATTTCCCAGTTTCTCTTTGATATACAGATACTTTATCTTGAATGATTGCTGGCCCGCGAAGACACCTTGAACGTTCACAGTTACTGAAGAGCCTCAACTAGAAATACTGGACTTGAGAATTGCCCAATTGCTACAATACTGATAGTTTCTCAGGCCCTGAAGCTTTGTGAGCTCCAATCATATGAACTTTATGTAGTTATATAGATATCACACTGTGAATTATATAAAAAAGAACCTAGCATATAAGAAACGCATCTAATTATTTTTTCGCGGTTATTTCTACGTCCGGCAGGGAAATCCTTTCTCTGGAAAATGCAGACTCATTCCTTGTTATTGAAAGTGGGCGAGATCCCCTTCCACAAAAAGCTTCAAGTAGATTCTTTCATGTCTGTACTCAAATCAAGCCTAAGAAGAAAACTCTAATTTAATTTCGTTAGAATACCATGCAATGTCTTTTATTCGCAGCACAAGTATCGCATTTCCATATCAGCAGTGCCAGAAGTTCATGTCCATCGATAATCTGAACCCATTCAATCTATTTTGATTTCCTCTTCACACCCAAAAAAGCACTAATGTATTAAAACTTCATATAGCAAATAAGGACTGCAAGCTTCCATATCCAGTGTTGGAAATCCGAAGTATTTAAGATACTTTGACTATCATGAGGAGAAATAACGTCCAAAACGTTCGGAATAATATATATATTGTGCTCCCATACAGAGGTGGGCAGCAGCGCGCTAACATGTAGCGGCCGCTACTAGTGGCGCTACATTTTCAGTAGCGGTAGCGGTAGCGATGCTACATTTAAGCAATTCTAGCGGTAGCGATAGCGCCCGCTACATATTTAAGTAGCGATACGAGGTTTTGCCGCTACAGCGCTACCGCTACATTTATAGATAAAGCCTTTAGATTTTACTTAATGGTATTAAATATTATTTAAAAACCAGCATGATACATACATAATATAAATTACAGGTTAAAACTGTACGAAAGATTTCGCTGTAATGTTGTCAACCTCAGCCTGTTACTAGTGTCAACATGTTAGTGGTTACTTGTTAAGTTGTTAACAGTTACAACTTACCGGTATTTTTCCATGTTTCAGTTTGCTTACAGTTATTTTTACAGTTATTTTTATGTTCAAATTTGAAAATATTTCTATTATTATTGAAGCTATTTAGGAACAAAGAATTTATACATTGGCAATCTTTTCTCAGTCCACGTGTGGTAAATATTAAATTAACTAATGCCTTCTTAGCTGTCACAGCGCTAGTAACCAGAGAGCAGCAGATTGTCAAGTGAGCAGCGGGTTACAAGATTTTCAACATCTTCAAGGTGAACAACGCTACGGCATGATTAACTACCGCTAATTAATAATTAATTTGCTCAAATACGACATAAGCCCAGGAAAACAACGCTGAACTAATCATGTAACGAATGTCAGGTAAGAAAACATCCTGTCTTATTTCATAACAAATATTCCACCGTCAACAATTTTTTCCCCGTTTTAAACAAAAATTTCATGAATATAAAATGGAATAACAGAGATCAAAGGGAGACTGCTGGAAGCCTGACGCCACGGTAAGTGAAATTTATTTAATTCTAGTTCAGAAATTCATGCGCGAATAAATAGAAAATCAGATCGTCTGTTATGTAATTTTCTTTCAATCACCTTCAGAATAGAACGAATAAATGAAAATATAGACGAATAAATAAAAATATAGAACTTTAATGCATTTCTCATTTGAAATTATATGAACATTAATACAGAGTGTTGGTAAATCAACAGAAATGATTAGATAAATAATTAAATCGGAGAAACGCGTGGCTAAAAGCCATTTATATTAATCATTTCCAGAGCCGACTTGTTTGTCATTCATTAGGTAACTATTAAGATGACTATTAATTCATTATTGTGCTCCCATTCATCGTGAATAATATGACTTTTTACAATTATTCATGTTTTCATTTGACCATTAATTTGTATCTTCAATTTTTACTATATCAAGACGCCCATCCTATAGATCGTTAAAATTTCAATGAGCGGATTCCGATCCATATACTCATCGGGGTACTGTCGATCTAGATACCGATTGGGATACGCTCGATCATAATACTGATTGAGATACCCTCGATCTAGATACTGATCGAGAGATGCCCATGGCTTTCAACTGAATAATTGGAAAAGCAGAGTGATATTTCCAAAGACTGTATACAGTCTTTCCAAAGACTGTATACAGTCTTTCCAAAGACTGTATACAGTTGGAAGACGTCCACAACCGATGAGGCTGATATTGGAACATTCATTGTGCTCTTAAATTATTTATAACATTCAACACAAAAGGAGCATCAGTTAACCCAGTCTGAGTTGGATACTGGTTCATGCCTAATGAGGTACAACAGGCAAAGCGCTAATTGGTGCAAGAGAAGTGCAACCCTAATTAAAAGGAATAACGGACATAAAGAGTCCACCGAAGGCTGTTAGGTGGCCACCGATAAGCTGCTCATGATATTTACTACGGTATTTATTCTGCTTTGATGTTATCCCCGCCGTATTTAACTTTTGATTGCAAACATGAGAACATTGAATTTCCCACCATGTTCCATAACATGTTACATAACAAGCTTCATTAAATTGCGGAGGTGCAAGTTCTATGCTGGCTTTCTCAACAGTTATTCTAAATTAGTGAACGTGAAAGCTTGTTATTTTCCATTAATCATCTCTCTAGCTAACTTTTTAACACTCAGTATCGTTAAAAATAATGATTGTGAATGATTTTTAGGCCACACAGTTACCCACTTCCTTTCATGCAAATACACAGGATTATGTTTCTGAATGAATGAGCATAGCTTTATAATCCACATGCAATCAATAGGACTTGATTAAGCTAATATAAAAATGTTGTACTATGTTTTGAAAGAAAATAAGTTTCGCATCGCGTAGTCCTATTGCGAGCGTATCCTGCTCCCAGGAAATAGTGAACAAACACACAACTTAGTCCTACAACAGATGATTATTTAGCCCAATTTTATTATTCCATTTTACTGTCATGAAAAAAATCAACGTGAATATAGAAATAATCGTTATAATGAATAATGATAGTAAATATTTGTATCAAATTTTTCTGTCGAATAACTGAAAACTTTTAGGCATTAATTTAAACTCTGCTTAAATAGATATGAAAATTCGGATTGTCTGAATTCTCTTTAATTGATTGAATTTGATTGTCTGAATTCTCTTTAAAATGTCTGAACGCTATACCTACAGTATTACCCAAATCGGGTAATAAAAATTGCTCAATCTGCTCATATAAGTAATAAACTTTCTGAAAATGAGAAATAAATAACTGGACTTCTATGTCTAACTTTCAGAGAAAATATGAATAAGAGCAGAACTACTCACCCTTGAAAAGTTGTAAGTCTTGAGATACGAGATGAGGAACAGACAGAAAGTTCTGGCGCATTCCTCCTTCTCCATGATGAAGAATTCTGGCAGGGCTGGAGTGGGCGGTTCTGGGGGCTGTGTTAGGCCGGTGAAAATATGCGGCTCTGTGGTGAAAATATTCTGGGCTGCAGCAAACAGCGTTGTAGTCCTACGGTCTTTTTTCAAAGAATGACCAGACTGGGAAATTCCTACTTCACAATTTCTAGATGAATCTCTCAATTCGGACTCTTCCAATTCAAGTACATTTGCTGACAAATCTCTGCTACAGGGGTGAAGTGACACAATTTCCTGTATATTTTTCTCGCACGAGTGGGTGAATTCATCGGTTGATATTTTATTCGATAAATACAGGTCTACTGCAACAGCAACTTTCTCGAAGATGCATTCGGTCCGTAATTGCTCTGTCGGTGCAGTGTTAAATTGTCCAGACCGACGCATGCCAGTGAAAGAGTGTGAATAATCGTTAATTGAGCATTCCTCAAGGAGAAGATTAAATCGACACAAATTAGTAAGCTTCAAAGAAATCTGCTGCAAATATTGCGAACTATATTTTCGAAAATTTTTCACGGATGAACAGCAGGAGATTAAAGCTTGTTTGTATGAGAGAGAAAGTGTAGACATGGCAAATTTTTTAATAAATTGCTTTGCACAGCGGTTCTTCCGTAATGTTTGGGTACGAGAAAGCTTGGGAATTTTTCGCAATTTCTCAGTGAGCTTTGAAGATTCTCGGTGTTGCTGAACGGCTTGCTTCTTGCGACGCACGAGTTTGACTTTTTCATCGTGAGAAGACGGCAAGCAGATGAGAAATGAAACAAGTTCGTTGTTTTTCACTTGAAATGCAGTCACTTCGATGCCATCCATGAACAGCCAACCGGCCTCAGTGTTGCATCCGACGTCTATCATATCACTTTTCGTCGCTCTTTGGTTATTATTTATCCCCTTCCCACTTTCTCTTCGGTCTACGATTGTCATGCACAGCGATCCATCAGCTATACAAGGAACGTCGCCTTCGATAGAATATTCAATAGAGCTTAATGGGCGCTGTTCATTTTCGTCGGCATCCTGCGTGACAAGAGGCTTCCGATGTTTACTGACGTTGCGCAAGGACAGCGGCTGTTTGTTGTCATTTCTAGCATCTAAAAAGAGCACGGATCTCATGCAATTGCAAGCACTATTATATTTCGGGTCTTGTTCGACCTTTGAAACTAATTCCAGCTGTTCGTTATTTGCACTCTCAAGATGACGGCTAGACGGGAGGATATTTTTGACACAAAATGTAAAGCGATTATGAACTGGCCATATGATATCGTTAGTAAAATTTTTTCTATCGAAAGTTTCTTGCGAATGAATTAGATTCAAATCAGTTTTCAAGTAGTTTTTCCGAGTCATTTGATCGTGAATTCTAAAATAAAATTTCCTTTCCGTTCTGTGGTAAATTCTATCTATTGCCCAATGGAGGTCAGAAAATGAATCCCATATAATTAATGTGAAGAAAAAGCTGAACCAAAGTCGGGTGCTTTTCTTCGCTATCGTCGACATCAGCTGTCGCCTGGGAAACTTGGCACCTTGTTTTGACGCCATGGCTGGACGGGCATCGCGAGCTGCACGACCGAAAAACAGCAACCATTAGTTTAAGTCAAGTCCTTAAAATTTAATGTTAGAAGCCACACTCTTTAATGTTAATGAGGGGAAAATGTGGCTGGATGAAACTAGAAATAAATACCTTAAGTCGGTTTATAAATGGCTTATTGCTATTGCCGTATCATTTCCTGTAAATGAGATTTAAGGTGTAAACAAAACAAAAAAAAATATTAAGGATACATTGAAAATCACAAACGTAGTCTAAAACAAAATATTCGGGATAAGCCTAAGTATTAAAAAACTTTAAACAAGATAATTACGAACACACTAACTAACTCACTTTCCAGCTGGATATGGAAAACCATCTATTATCAAACGTTTTAGCTTCATCATTCTGCTTGTTTTCGGAAATATTTGTCTTTTTTTCTTATTTCGTACTTTTAATGGATAAAGCTTTTCCAATTAGAGGCTGTAAAAAGCAACTGCTAATTCCTGAATGGATTAATCAATAACTGAACGGCTTTAAACTAAACCACATAATCAAATAGTCTTTTAATAACTTCCCGATGGCATCCATCATATGATTACTCCAATTATTTCAAAGTTTGCAGACTAATTTACTGGGTTAGCCGCAACTTTGAGAGCCGCAACATGGCAGACAGAAATGAAGCTGTTGTGCCACAGCTTCGCCACTTGGCCAAGCGTTGCGTGTGGTGTGGCTATTGGCCGACAGTTCTGGAGGTCTTGTGCCACAAAGACACATTGTTCGGCAATGCCACTCGCTTTCTTTTCAGTCTCTCTTGCAATGTGGTGTCTATTTTGGCGGCGATATAAAAACTTTTCGCAGATTTTAGTAGATGCCATCGTTAATTTTTTACCACGTTTTTCTTAGCTCGCTTTCGTGTCCGTCTGTCTGTCTGTTTGTGATGATCAAATCTTGCAATCGATATTTCACCAACTTTCCCGCTAGCTAGCGCTCTGAAACTTCTAGGGAAGCTCAGCTCCCGATGACAATACAATAATCAATAATTTGTAGCACGTTTCCAGGCGTATTTATTCAATGAGGCGTATTCATACGCCTCATACGGAATAAATACGGGAACAACAATGTATCCCCTCGAATACAATTTTGTACAGAACTTCGGAAAGAATTTTCTTTCGTGCATTTGCGTGGCCAACTGAAACGTATCTCGATACGTACGTCAAGTCAAGTAAATTGGCTCGCAACAACGTTTTTCATGTGTAGCAACGGACTAAAAAGGAGAAAATAAAATACTTAAAAAAGACTTTATCGTGTGTTGTGTGCTTTTCGCTTTAATCATAAATCTGCCCGACACACGTTTTTTGGGGCGAGCCATAATTTATTTTCTACTTTTTAGTCCACAAGAAAAACGTGTTTTTTTAAAAAGTTTTTTTCATGTACGTACAGTACATGAAAAGTACATTTCATATCTGGAGTACGTTGTCACAGCTATAATAATTATTCATAGTTCCATGCAAAAGTAAATTCTAGTATCTTCAATATTCGATTTTGCTCCATGCAGTCTATGATCTTATCATCTCAATCACATTTAGCTTATTCATGTCAGGCTTATGCACAGCCAAGCCTGATCTCTGTAATAAGTTATAGCTATAGAAGGAAAATTTGCTCTCCAACTTTTGACATTAAGTTGGAAAATTTAATTGCTGCATAGTACATATTTTGGCACAAGCAAGTATACAGAAAATAAAGGATGTGTCATCATTATTCTGATTTAAGCACAAATCACAGAAAATAAGGCTTTTTTAAGTTAAGTTGTATTGTTTGGATAAGATTTGTGTAAATTATATAAGATTAAGAAAGTAAATTTCCCAACTGCCTATTAATCTTCTTTCTCTACGCATTCAAGCCTCCCTGAACCATCTCTCCAACACTCTGCTAATTTCAATTTCTATTCATCTCCCCATTTAGCTCCCTCTTTCAATCCCCAAAAACATCTTTCTCATTTGCTTTATTTGAAGGTCTGTCTCACTTGTGTACTGAAGAGTTTCTAACAACTCTGTTCGCTTCATCGACATTAAAATCGGCATTGGAAGCCTCGAGCAAGCCGTGGCTGCAATAGTATTATAAAATTATTGCCAACAATTAAAACTTGACCGTGAATTGGCCGAAATGTCGTGTGAACACTGAATGTTGGGCTTGAATTTTATATTCAGCAGAATTTGTCAAACATATCGGTTTCAAGCGCGTATAAACACTGTTGTATGATGAAGAAAACATTTAATTGAGATCATGTTTACAGCAGCAAAATTAATCAAATCAACGTAGAAAAGTTAAAAAGTACCTGTTGAATGTTTATTGTAACTTGCAATTGTTGAATTTTATGAAATAGTGTAAAAAATTAACTGTTGAATAAAACCTTTTTTGCACTATTTCATAAAATAATGCAAGTCAAAAAATGATGTGACTTGATCATTATAATTATAGGAAACATTAATTACAGATATAGGATCGTAAACAATTGCAAACGCTGTAATATTCAATTTGTGAATCAATTAACCTAGTGATCGCTTCCCCGGATATTTTGCCGAACAGATCACCTGACCTCAAACCAAGTATTGTGTCTACTTTTAACGTATGCACGACAGAATAATGAATATGAATATGAATAATGCTTCTACAATTTTCTGGAGCAAGGTCATCAGAAATTTCAATGGTGAAGTTATGATGATGAGCCACACCCAGTTTCAGGGTCGTATCGCGGAAGTCAGTCACGCCAACGGCGGTTCATCGAGGATGGAAAATCCACATAAGTACAGGACAAGATCCTGATATATTTTTTAATCGCGCTCCTATTTTATAATTTAAAGTAAGGCACTAAACAATTGCCATCTGCATTCGGCAAGCGAAAACGCGCTGAAAAAGTCGTGCACCTGAGCGGAGTTTCCAGGTTAAGTATCCTTATTGTTCATAAAATAATCGAAAACTCGGACTCTGAACAATCACGTCTTTTCACGTTTCACTCTTTTTCAAGATCAAGCTTAACTAAAATCTGAGAGAAAATTATTATCGTGGCATACGTTTTAGTATTGCTGCTGTGACAATGCCAGAAGAGAATATTCTTCAAAATGCGTTAATCCATCATCGAGTTTTTGTTCATCTGAGTTCAAATATTTCATGCAGATCACGTAACTGATGAAATTGAAATGTTAAGGCAAGCAATGATAACACTCAACATTTATAATATGCACTGTAGTGCAATTCGCATCAATTATAATCGGGGGTTAAAAATACTGACTGATACATTTTTCATTATAATTCCAGAGTGCGTGTAAGTATGTTTATATTTTATGTTTTGACTTTTGATGTTGAGCATTAAGATTTTTGGTGTAAACTCAATTGATAATCTAGGGCAAGTTTTGAAAAGGTTTTGAAGACCGGAATCACGAGAATTGGTTCAAACAATTTCAAGCTCACAGGTACAAGCAAATCTAACAGCGGAATGTATGACGTAGATCAAAAACCTAATTTCACAAATAAAATAATTCCAATAGAAATACATTCTAAAAATTTAATCCGCACATGCATCTCCAACAGAAAAAATACAAGTTGAATTTGGACGTTTCTGACCAATTTATAAAGCGAAGTCAAGTCTCGTTCGAACCCTTGACTTCTATGCCATGACCTTGAGAGCGAGTGAGAGACTCCGGCTAAAAGCTTTTTATTGGCCGAGTTCAATCAGAGTTGAAAAGTACTGGACGTGTTTTGAGTGTAAACTGAAATATAAAGCCATACTAGACAACTGAATGCTGCTGGTGGAGGCGCAACGGATTCAAAGGCTAAGAAATAAAATCCCCTCTGCGCGTATCTTTGATCATTTTATGGCAGTGGGCGCATTCGAGCTTGAATTTCTCTTAAGATTTTCGACGGATATGTAACATTTTGCTCTGCTACCAACAAATTTTCAAGTTTTGTCTAAAATGTAAAAAAAATTGTAGGGTGTAAATTTTTTACTTTTTTAGTTTGAAAAATGAGAAAAAATTTTCTACTTAAGCGGTTCTGTCAATGCTACTTAACGGAAGAATTCAAAACACGAGATATAAGTACGAAAACTAGAGTTTTTGTTCTAATACCATACGTAACTAGAACTTATTAATTGTACAGGCAGTACATGGCACTGTCTGTATTGAGCGAGGTCATAGTAGTAACACTTCTGTCATGTCACGGTTTAAACACTTCATTGCTCTACTGTCTGGAAGATATAATGAAATGGATAATGCAAGTGTTAATAGATTGATAATATAATCATAATAATAAAAGAATAAATGTGCCGTCAATTAAATGAGTATTGCTTCTGTCATATTCTGAGCTCTGAAGCTCGAATCCGAGACGAGAGATTTTCTTATGAGAACAAAATCAACAATAAGTAAATATCTACCCAGAAGAAATCAAAACACAACAAACATATAAAGTAATATGAAACATTAACATTCTCATGGTCCATTCACTATTCTTTATCAGAGTAATTCTAATCACATTCTATTACTGAGTCTTCTTCTCCTCCAGCTTTTTACACCGAGCCATCTTACGACGTTTGCATTCATTTTCCTTCCGAGGAAGCTGAAGTGAAATGAAAATATATAAATTTGTATAATAAATTCCCGAGCAAATATAATCACCCCAGCATCTAACGCTAAATAATTTCAATTTTGTAACCCGCTAGAGACACAATTTATATCTAAAAAAATTATGCATCTCAAAATTCATTGGGACTGATTACATAACAAGGGCTACGATTTTAATAAACTTAGACAAATTAATATTTTCACACAATTGTTATTCCTATTATAACATAGCGGTACATGTAAGCAATTACACAATGTTTTCGGGTCCAGTTGGCCGAAATTAGATATCGTAATGTTGGACATTTAGATGAAGATAAATACAAATATTTCATCTTAACAAAATTTATTTTACTGAGCATGACTAAAATCAAATTACAATTCGCCCTACAATTACTTGTAGAATGTGAGTCATTTTAAAGAAACGATACGCACTTTTCTGTGGCCCCCACATTTCCTAAACCGAGTTTCCCGATTCCGTATTCCGAGTAATCATGCATGCGGACGCCCAGATGCTGGACCACAGTTCCGACCTTCGATGAATTTCAAATCACCACAAGAAAACCGACCTGCCATAGAAACTCGGCCTATGCAATCTACTCATACCAAGAAAAATGAAGGCAGCAATAATGGCACGCAATCAGTTGATAAAATTTTGAAGTCAAATCAAAATTTTGAAAGCCGTGTTTTAACAATTGCGGTAGTAACTGCGTTTCAGTTTGAATTAATAACTTCTTTATTTGTGGAAATTTTTATGCTTGCATCGTTGATGCTTTTAGAATATATATAAATATATATTAGAAAAATATTAAATTACGTATCGAAAAAAATATTCTTTTAATAATTTAATATTCATGATTTAATTTTCCTTTATAAAAGTTCCGTTTATACAAATTTTGAAATCAATATAATTTATAGTACTTTGTTAAATGATAAAAAGAACAAAATTGAATCTTGCAAATTCTAATCCATCGATCATAAAAATGTAGAATGTGAGTCATTTTAAAGAAAATATACGCACTTTTCTGTGGTCCCTACATATTGAACCGTGAACGTCAAGAGGTATGATTATATTATGAATCGCAAATACGATTAACAAATTTTAAAATTTGTGTGTAAATTTTGTAAAATTTGTCTACCGCCTACCCAAGTGATGTTTTAGCTAGAAACTACGGGTGCTACTTGACTTGATCTTGGAATATTTGCGACCTCCGCCGGAAAGTTCCGCATTCTAATGTCGCTTTCATATTCGCGACGCTCTTATTCCCCGGTGACCGCAATAGGTTTTACTTGCCTAAAAAAACGAGACCTGGGGCAGGTGTTCGTGTGAGGCGAGGGCCGACCAGGACTATTGATTGTCGGACCAGGTTAGGGAGCCACGCTCTTCTATTATTAAGCCACGCAGCCGCTGCATGAACGCTGCATGAATACTGCATGGATACTGCGTGCATCCACACGAGTACAACAGGAGGCCACGCAACGCTGCGTGAAGGCTGCGTGCAGCCACACGAGTACAACAGGAAGACACGCAACGCTGCATGAAGGCTGCACGAAGGCTGCGTGCAGCCACACGAGTACAACAGGAAGCCACACAACGCTGCACGAAGGCTGCACGAAGCCGGCATGAAGGCTGCACGAAGGCCGCGTGCAGCCACGCGAGTACAACAGGAAGACACGCAACGCTGCACGAAGGCTGCACGAAGCCGGCATGAAGGCTGCACGAAGGCTGCGTGCAGCCACACGAGTACAACAGGAAGACACGCAACGCTGCATGAAGGCTGCATGAAGGCTGCGTGCAGCCACACGAGTACAACAGGAGGCCAAGCACACACTGCATGAAAGCTACACCTGCCAACGTGTGCGTGCAGGTAATACTGCACACAGCGATGCCCTCTCTACACACGCTACAGAGCAAGAAGCAGCATCAAACATTGAAGGCAGATGCTGCTGGTTATTAAACTCCTACACAAATGCGACGCAATAAAATGCAGATGTAACACAGCGCAAGTCTACATAAACCCCACATAGAATATGAGGCAATGTACCACATCAAAGTCCATGGATTATTTAGATGCAGCATAATGCAAGCAGACTCTCAAACGCTGAAATGGCACGTGGATATTCATGCATTGGAGACAGCGTGGAGCACATAGTTAGCGATCTTCAAGCATTCGTTGGTATTCTGGACACAGAAAGTGCTGTAAAATATAGCATACAAACAATTGCATGTATATACAATGCAAAAGTAAGAACAAAATACGTTAACAAATTCATCTTTACATGTGAATACAGGACAGCGCGCTCCTGAGACACGTAAGCAGACGAGTAATATAATTTCATTCAAGGGTCAAACTCTCTAGTTTTAATGCTATCAGGAGTTTAATCGCAAGAACAAGAGTTATTTGACACGAATAATGTTTATGTCAACGCATGAAAATTAATCGTTAAATATTACAGCGATATTTAATTTGAAAATTCAATTAAAATTGCTTCAGCCGTGATGAACCGCACTGGAAAATAGTATTCTAGAAAAATGTCATGCATTTGCTAGACCATGGCTATGGCTGCAGCCGTTAATCAACGTATGCTAAGAATGACCCGTCGGTTACATCATCAAACAAGACAAGAGAATGAATTTAGGCTCTCTTTTTCCCTCAATTTTAACGTACAGTTGTGATCGATCATGAGTAACAATGAATGCAGCGTAGTTAGAATTAAAAATATTGAGGGCATCCTGCTTGGTTTTAGCAGTTCCGTGACAAGCTTGTAGTCGTTTGCTCGATAACTCATGGCATTTGTGAGCGGAATTACACGTAATACTAGCGTCTACTAAAATACTATATTACTGTTTTATTTATCGTAATATTCGAAGATTGTTATAAATCAATTATGTAATGCTAAATAAAAGATGTTTAAATTAGGTCGTCCAAATGCAAGATAAGATTGTCGATGAGTCTCACCTGGATCAAAAGTTTACCTGCTGCGGTCACTGTGTTACCATCACTGACTTCCTCCCTCACTCCTGCAGCCCTCATTTGCCCCTCTCCCCCTCACCCCACCTTCTTTGTACCTGTACCTGTACCCCTCGCCCCACCTCCCCCTCGCCCCTCACTATATTGCTTAACTCCCCCCTCCACCACTCAATCCCACTCTACCTCGTCCATACAACTCTTACCTGACACATAACTCTCTTTTCAATGTTCACTATTTTCAATGTTCCTACTTCCAATTCTCACTCACTTGTCCCTCCCTCTTGTCCCTCTTACTTGCCCCTCGCATTTGACCCTCTCACTTGACCCTCTAAATTGCCCCTCTCACTTGACCCTCTCACTTGACCCTCTCACTTGACCCTCTCCCTTGACCCTCTCATTCACCCCACTCACTTGCCCCTCTCACTTAAATTGCTCCTCTCACATGCTCGTCTAACTTGCCTCTCACTTACCCCTCATCTTCAATACCTCACCAAGCCTCACTCATTCTTCATCAGCATTTACCTCTGCCACACTTAACCTAACTTCAATCGTCCTCTCGTCCTCGGCCCTCGTCTAAATCACAGATAAATCCCACTCCTCTAACTCTGCTTCACTTACCCTTGCATTTGTCTGCACTTCAGACACACCTTGCAGGCTCAAAGCTCTTTCGTGAATGACCGGTCTGCTCTGATTTCCTGTGGTTGGGATGCTAATGATAGCGGTTGCAAGCACTGCTATGGTTGCAAAATTAGGTTGTGGGTTGAAGCAATCTGGATTGGGAGAGGTTGGGGCTGAAACAAGCTGGGTAGGGAAAAGTAGAGGGTGGAACCAAGTGGTTGAAGAAGGGTTAGGGTGGCGAAAGGCTGGATTGGACAGAAATAGACTAAAGATTTAAACCGTTCGAGCGTCACTCATATTGGTGCGCTAGCGATACTTTGTTTGCATAATTGTGCACTAGTAAAGCTCGGTGTTGCATAAGGATGCAGTAGTGATGAGCAGTAGTACATAATATCGAACTTGCCATCAACAATGGCTGCAATTCTAAATTAGTCTATATTCGTAGCATATGAGTTATCTTATTTGTTCATATCAGTCATATATCTCAATGACTGAAAAACGTGCATCGGTATAGATCTATCATCCAATGTCACAAAGAAACATTGAAAGATCAAATTCTCTCTAGTGTTCTTCAACCGAAATATCCTCATACGCTACGAATTCAAGTAAATTTGGAACTGGTGCAGGGAAACAAGATTTTTTATGAGATACCAGATTAGCATTTTTTAGTCCGATATATCATCACTTCTTTGTGTTCAATGTATATCGGTACATTTTTTGCAAATACCTGCTCATAAAAAAGTCCGCTTCCCTACCAGCAACTGGCCAGTAGAAGGCGATTTAACGTATCGATTAGCAACATCCGCTGAAACAATCAATAAGGCAGAAACAAATTTGTCTTACTAACGTACTTCTTCACACATGCGTGAGATGATTAATTTTTACATAGCATGCGGAGAAATTTTTCCACGTACCATAGACAGGGCAGTGCACTGCAACGTGCAGTAATTTTACCGCAGTAAATTTGAGTGAAATTTCTAGCTGAGCAGCGAGCAGATATGCTGTACGATTGCTTGAACAAATTACGACTGGTGCCACCTGAGCAGTAGGGCAGAGCGTCAACCCTGACCTGATCTAAGCAGGTTAAATCGTCACTTCTTGGCCATTTAAACTCCGTCCCGCTCTGCCTATACTTGCTGCGAAATGGCGTTCCAGATTTGGCTCCTTACCCTCGTTTCTCTGCTGTATGTTTTATCTGGGTTGGTTAGGTAATATTTTTCGCTGACTGCAGTGCCTCTAAAGTCGCTCTGACTATCGAACTGTAGAAAATTTCTAGCGATATTTGACTGAAACTGCATTGTTGGGTACTTATCTGCGATTTCATTTAAAATAAGTCACTTGAATTTCATTATAAACAATTGAATTATGCAGACAATGATAATCATTCGATGAAACATTGAAACTGTTAATCATAGTCAAAGTTGTATCGTAATAGTCTCAAAACTTATACGACTTAATAGCAAGGATATCCTATCTTTTTAGATATCTTTTTAAGTTTGTATCCTTTAATCGGGGATTTGACTGAAATGATTACAAACAGTCAACTACTCCGAAGTACTCAAATGCCAGCGCTTGCAGCAGCAAAACGCAAACGTCCAAAAAGATAGATACCTCCTTTGAGTGCATTTTATTACCACTGTAATGTTTAGCCTGGAAAGCGAAATTACTAATAAAATTAAATAGCCCGTGATAAGCTGCTAAAAATTTGTAAAAAATCGAAGTGAGAAGTTAAAAATTGAACATAACTATGGACTTATAGTTTAAGAATGCAAAACAGACTGAAATAAAAGACGTATCATGGGGATTCAAGGTGCAACGGCATTTCATCAAGAGACTGGTCTGAACCAATTAATTCATAAAGCCCCATAATTTATAGTTATAAAACACGACAAGAGAAACTGATCTGAACAAATTAATTCATAAAGCCCCATAATTTATAGTTATAAAACACGACAAGAGAGACTGGTCTGAACCAACTAATTTACTTTGTAAACAAAATTCAGCGCCCGCGGCATTGACCTCTAATTATGGGAATTGTACTTGAGATTCCAAAGCTAATTATGGGAATCATAATTAAACAATTTCCACGTTATGGTGAGTTAAGAACGAACTTATGCTGGAGGCTCATCAGTGTTAGTGCTCGCTGCCAAGACGTTATAATTAGATAGCCATGCAGAAGACAGCTCCATAAAAAATATCAGACTTGTATATGATAAGGAAAAGACAAACAATTAATTTCGGAAGAATTTACTGACAAAAAAATAATCTGTGAATAATTATTTTGTATGAAGACTAACATATTGTCCTGCATACACCAAGCCTCATTACACTGTTGAATGAAATACTGCCATATTCTCTCCTGGAGCAATACATTAAGAAGAGGCTCTTCGTTCAAAATATAGGATATTAAATTTATCTGAATCATTGAAGAAATCCTCTTGAATAATTTGCAGTGAGTTGTTGAGTATCGTGATAGTTCTGAAATACTGTTTTTCAGCCAACTGATGTTAATATTATTTACGAAATTATAACTTAATTAAAATTCAGCTATATACAGACCAATGAAATTAGAACATTCACTCTTATTATAAACAATTAGAAGACCTAAAGACCTAAAGAAACATTTTCATTCTTTTATACATGAATGTAAAATGGTTTTAAAATCATGTATTTATTTCACAAGCACTTCAGTATTCTGTTAAACATACTATAAATGTACAATTATTTGAAAATATTTGAAACTTGTGTAGCACAAAATTGTGCTGCGGAATATGTATATAAACATTTTTTCACACACCCTCAATGTCAGGCATTTAGTTGGTTTTATTAAATTTCAAGTAAACTTTATCTCGAATTGTTCCCTGCTAAAATTAAAGTCATGGTTTCCGTCAAATGAAAGAAGAACTTAAATAATAATACTTATGGGTTGATTCCGTGTACTGAAATCAATTATTTATTTGCAATCGCATGGGCTGCGTCAACATTAAATCATCTACATAAAATTTTGTCATTAAAATAAAATACATTTTTTTTTAATATTACATGCTCCGGAAAATCAGGATAATTTTAAATGAAAATATTTACAAATTTTATTGAGTCGCCTTATGTGCCAAAAAATGTTGTATTTAGTCCACATGACGTGCATAGCTAAATATCTACAGTGGCGATCAATGCAAAAAAATTTTTTACGTGTTCCTCTAAGCCCAATTATCCATTCATACGAGTAAAACTCTTATAAACCATAAGCAGTTACTTGGAGGTGTCAAACATATGAAGCAGAAAATTTATGTATTAAAATCAATTTATCTAATCGCTTCAAAGTAAATAAACAAAGCCATTGAACGCAACTGCAAGAAAATGTAGTGCGTCAGAACGGATATTTTTAATCATGTTGATACTGATCCGTTACTTGAATTGGTTTAATTCCTATTACTGGTTTGTTCCTATCACGAATTGTAGAAGAACAAATCAAATATTTGCAGCACAAATGTTCCAACCTAAAGCTGGATTTTAATTTTAAAGCCGTAATGAAGAATGCTCATCGATAAGATCTATCAACAAATGTGGCTAAGAAATTTTGAAAGATTAAATTCTCTCTGGTGTTCTCTAACCGAAATATTCTCAAATGCTACGAATTCGAGTAAATTGTGGCCACTGGTGCAGGGAAACAAGATTTTTTATGAGATACCAGACTAACATTTATTAGTCCGATATCTCATAACTTCTTTGCCTTCAAGGAATATCGCAAAATTTTTTACAAAGATCGGCTCATTTTTTCCTGTAAAGAAATTGCGTGCTTCCAAAGAATTTTTCTTCGATTATTAATTGAGAATTACGTTTACGCTCTCAGTCGTTATTCGTAAATCATAGTATTTGTATGTAAATTTCAGTTATGGCAATTTTTCTGCCTCTTGTGACTTTAAGTGGACCAAGTCAATAATGGTGATGCTATCACATTTGACCCGCCAGCCAGACATAGCAGGCGGAGCATGAACAGCCATATGACGTCAGCACGCTAGCCTTCTGCATCACTGTGTATAAATTATTTAGTAATAATATGCGTTTAAAAGTTAATTTTTAAAGACAACACTTCCAAATAATCCAGTGTCTCCAATCTCACAAATGTACAACGAATTTCTCATTTAATTTTCAAATTAAAAATTTAGTTTTTCAATTTTTTTTAATATATAAATTTTTTAATATATAATTTTTTCAAAATTATAATTTGATTCATGCATTGTCTCCAACTTTACACAAGTGTGCAAAATTTCAGGTCGATAGGATAAGTAGAAGTGTATTAAATTTCGATTACAAGATTTGTAGCAGACAGACAGACAGACAGACAGACAAGAAGTGAAGTTAAAGAGAAGTGTTGTAAAAAGTAAACTATTAGTTCTTGGCTAATAGAATCAATAATCCAATATTAGGATGAATTTCAATTCAAATTAATGATTAATTCTTTAATACAACGTCTGCTAGCAAACCTCTAGCTAGATGGTGCAATAAAAGATCATAGCTGGGATGAACAATTAAGTCTCAATCAGCGTTTCAGTACTATCGTTAACTTTTTCGATAATGCCTAATATCACAGAGGTGGAGTAATTTGGACGAGAGTTAAAAGTTTTTAATTGCAAGGGCCATTAAGAGTAAATCAAAGTGGCTCAAATGAAACAAAGCGATGTTGCCGTGAGTTTCAAGAACCGTCCATCGTATGTCATTGAAACTCTGAAACTCGTTAACAAACAAACTTCTTCTCACAATTTAGAACACAATTAACATCTCCACTCTCCCACCTGAAGAACCTAGTGTATTTATGAAGCAGGGATAATACTCTTCGCACGATCATAATGATGAGAGTTTAAGATCACCGTAGCAACGATCATTTGCTTAATTTAGACAGCATGTACTCGTATATGTGCGATTCTAGATATGAATAAACTTTACGGGTGTAGAATCGTTGTTTATTTTTAGCACATTCGCCTTAGCAGAAAATTCGGTTATTAAAAGCTGTTGATGATTATCTTATTTATAAAATTTCCGCTATATGAGATATATTCCAAGCTAATACCAAGTGCTGTATCAAATGCACCTACATGACTATAGGCGCTCGTAAAAATCCTCCAGCATAAATATAATGCTGCTTTTAATGTAGTCTATGCCAGAGTTCAGTACTTCTTAGTACTTTTAGTCAGTACTTTATTGTACTGTACGTCGGTACCTTGGGCTGAACTTATCAATCGGCAAGGCAGCTCATAACGCCGTTGTCGCAGCTGTGTTAATTTTTAATGTACTCATTATCAGAAATGGTTGAAATTCTGCATTTTTGATGGTAAACTAAAAGTATTGCAACCGTCAACACATCTTAGAACTGCGAACGTAAAGTACAAGTGACCTGCTGCACGAAGTCTCATTCACACGACGCCTGTGCCCAAGCTTTTCTTTCATGCTTAATGATGATCTGCTTGCCGCTTTAGCGCGTATGTCTTTCGGGTTTTTGCTTAGCCTAAAAAAATTCAGAATCGAATTTGAGTTCCCTTACACTAGAGTATTTTTATACAATCTAAGGGATTGTCATGCATTTTGTCGCCAGCTTATCATGCTCACCACGTATAACGGAAGCGAAACCTGAGCTAGAAGTTTTCAATTAAATTTGCGGGCGCTGGATGTTTGAAGGCGAAATTACGGCAACAAAAGTCGCCACTGTGCCTGGGCTGTGTCAATAATTCATTTATTTAGGGCCACTGCCACTGGCGCGATACTAAAATGGGTGGGAACGATTACGTTTATACTGCATTTTCGACCTTTAGCCGAGTAATTTAATTTGTTTTCGGTAAAAATATACATGAAACGTAGAGACAACAAAATGCATGAACATGCAGAATTAATTAGAAGTTGCATTTGGTGAACAACCAGCGAAAAATTAATTGATAGTTTGATTTATTCACAAACTCCTCGTTAAGGACAAAGTGAATACATCAAACACGAATGACTATGTCATGGGGATACATATTGAATATGATTCGCGACTAAATATATCTCAACAATTGGCCTAAGAGGACGAGTCTTGTCATATATTTTTCTACGCATTACTCAGTCACCGAGTCAGGTGAAGTTAAATGCTTCAAAGGCGACCGTTGGGGGAGCTCTAACAATAAGCTCTGGGGGCTGGGGAATGAAATTCATCTAAAATATTCGCGCTTGCTTATCTTGTAACAATTCCCGCACAAAGCGAAAATGAATGCGTTATATTGCGAAACTATATGCGTACGTACTATCATTGCCACTAGTTGTTCCCGGAGAACAATTCATCATCAATGCATATATTGGTAAGCCGTTGCCGGATGAACCATCGTGTGAGGTGCAGAAATTTAAAATCAACAATTTCTGACTTGAATGCGTAACGATTTAATCTTAATGTGGGGACATATCTTTTCTGAGGAATACGTACATGACCCCAGACAAATACTAATTCTTTAGTCTGCATGGCTCGATTAGCTTGATTCCTTAGCTCGAGTTCCTTATTAGTGAATCTAATGAGTATTTTTTTAGCGCTTATGAACTTATGGGAAATGGTGAATAAAAAAACATTTTTTTCCATTTCGAAGAGAGATCCGTATATAAGGCTCCTTCTAAGTCACGATAAAGAGAAATCAGAAAAATAGCTAGTCTTACTGATAATTTTATGAAATGTTTCGTTTTAAATAAAAATACAGATTTTAGTAGAGTGAAAACTTTCTAACAATATTTTTTTTAATGATCATACTATTATTGAAAGGCTAAAGAAGAAATAATCAAATAAGCCGTTTATTATATAAGAATAGTGAGGCTTTCTCTGTAAGTGATTCTCACCATTCAATGCCGCAACTAAATTACGGCCTTTGCATTTTTTGTGAGCGCATTATCAAAAATTACATTAAAACTATTCATTTGAATCAAAAGTTGTTTATCCAGGAGACTTCGGATTATCAAATCAAGCTATTTCAAACAAATTAGTTTTCTGATTAATATCGGACTATAAATTTTTTAATGAGATTATATCGGCTTCATTTAATTTGAAACGTTCTGAAATCCAATCAATCAAACAATGTGAAACCTTATCACCGAATCGAATTTCGATTAAAATGATGAGATTACAAATTCGTACAAAATTCATAGTTTACAAAATGAGAAAATTCTTCAGCCCATCAGCTCTACCTCCCGGAAATGCTCAACTCTTCCGCCATTCGTTACTGGAAAATTCTCGATTCGAAGAATTTTGAAATTAAATAGCAGGGTAATCTGCCTGGACTGGGCAATCAAAACTTTTATGCGATATAAAAATAGAATTTTGCGTTCGGTCAATCCATTAATGTGTGGCATCAAAAGAGGTTAAACGTTCCTGAGAGCTTCCATTAAGAAATAATATATTCTCGAGTATACATCACGCCCGAGACAATAGAACTTCTGAAGTAGAAGAAGAATCTCAATAAAATGTAACTGTATGGGTGTTTCGTGTAAGTAAGTACGTAGTTTGGGAGCTTAGAAATATAGATCTCAAGTTTTTATATAGCGGCTTGTGAAGAATTTGAGGTTACTTCAAAAAATTTGTTCGATTAAAGCCTCGGTGCAACTGTAAATAACCCTACCATTTGTGTCTTGCCACTTTGAATGGCACGTTTCACGTGCCGTCATTGACTTAAAAGTCGCCATTGCACTTAACTCTGCAACCTTCTGTAGAAATAACCAATGCTTTCAGTAAAATGTAACGAGAATATCCAAGTTTCATGTAAAATGCTCAGCAATATCATTATTGATTCTATAAAAATTAATATGACTGGCCCCATGTCGTTTAAATCAGCGGCTGGTAATTAAATGCAACGGCCACGCCGACTTGAGTTCGTCAACTTCATAAATCAACTTCATGAGTTGAGCGTCAACTTCATGAATCGAATGATGCCAATAACGATAAATGAGAAAATTTAGTTCAGGTTTTTGTTACTTTGTCTAGGTATTGCTTTGAACATGGTAATGAAGTTAATGGTGAATATTTCACAGAGGCATCCACACGTTTCGTTGCACATTGAGAGATTTTTTAATGTTCATCCCCACGCTGAAAGAGCGTTTCAATTTACGCACTAATATTCAGCCAATCGCTCCACCTCGATTGAGGTGAAGTCTTTCATCAGGTGCCGGTAGTATACGTAAGAACCAATAAGAATTTGGATCAGATTCAAGAGACTGAATTTAAATTGAAACTTGCCTATTGATTGGCCGGAGCTATTACTTGAGGTTTCACGCTGGAAATAATTGCAGCAATGCGAGTTCACGGGCCAATTGCCGCGCAGCTTCTACAATGTCTTGGCAGTTAGCGAGCGTTGGACTCAAGTTTAGTATTATGGCCCAACTTTTAATCTGGACAAGAAACAAAACGACCGTTTAACGGTGAGGTACGAAGCCAATCAAACGGTGAAAATAATACCGATTGAGTTTCTTTTACTTTAAAATTTTTATTGAATATCAAAAATCTAGCTTCATTTACCATAGTTTGTTCTACGTAGTGGGAAAATTAATAAATTTACGAACAGAGGTAGTGAACGTTTTACCTTTCGTCTCGGATTGCTTGAGACTTTCAGGAATTTCACAGAAATTTGTTCTTTACTTTGCTGTGCTGGAATACATGAAGGGTTAATAGTGGTTGATGATGAAATTTCGGAATTCTATCGTATCATTGTTAGAATAATTGAATCATTGAAAAGAATATGAATTTTAAAATACCTGAATGAATTTTTCGAACAGTTATACACGGGTGTGAAAACCTCTGTGTGTATGAGAAGTTGGCAAGTACTTCGCTGGAATAATGACATACATTTACTCTACTGAATTGATCATGAATTTGTGTTAAAGCGTGACTTATGGTATTCTGAAGCAACATTATTAACCAAGTTGCGCGTTAAATTGGTCCACAAGCCACCACCAGGCTGTTCTACCAGCACCCAAATGTGCTTAAAATCGAAGATTCAGAACTCAGGTCATTAAGCATAACTAGTTATGTACATTGAATAGGATAGAACGTTTTGCTGCGAATATTCTCCCAGTTGAAAGACTATTTATAATTCCCTGCATTCCTCAACGCTCCTCTATTAAGGAAGTGTCAGTTAGTCACAAGTCTCAACTCTCAAGCCCCTGAAACTTTGCGTCAGATGACACCGCGAGAGTTTGAACCTGGGCTAACTCCCCGCCTGGGTTGTTAGCGCTCAGGTATTTTACGACGTCAGTTCCGTGAGCCACCGAAGTTGTTTAGGGGCATCAAATTTACTGTCCGTGAGCGTGAATAACTGACGATATCCTGCATTTTTGTACCCCTCGCTTGTTCCCCTTTCTTGTTCTCCTCGCTTGTACCCCTCGCTTGTTCCGTCGCTTGTACCTCTCGCTTGTACCTCTCGCTTGTACCCCTCGCTTGTACCCTCGCTTGTACCCCTCGCTTGTACCCCTCGCTTGTACCCCTCTCTTGTACCCCTCGCTTGTACCCCTCGCTTGTGGCCCTCGCTTGTGCCCCAGTTCCAATGACTGACCATTCCTCTGTACTCCCGTAGAATTTTATATCAAAACGCTTTTTGAAATTCTCGCCCCCAGCTTTCCACAAGTAGAATCAGTGACAGTGCTGTATCAGTATAGTGTCTTAAAAATACTAGTGTAATAATGCTTCCAAATTGGAATTACAATGAATTATAAAATTTTAATTTTTGCTAACTTGACCTGAGGAATAAAAAAATTTACTCCCGCGCATTATCATTCATTCACATTTTTTCAGCTCGTTAATTTTAATTCGTATTTTTCATTGCCAATTAACACGTTAACTGCCAGCATATGGTGTTATTTGGAAGCTTGTTTTGTGCCACCGGTGGTACATGTGGCATTTAACGTGTCAAGGATAAATCTGTGCTTAGCTAATAAACAATGAAGACCACAAATTGGATAATAATGTAACTGTAAACTGATTCGCCGATTCCAATTTTGAATCGCATGATATAAAACCTCTCATAGAATTAATTTGGGCGGGAAAGTTTACACATCATTATTTTATTCGTAAAATCTGGTGGCAGATTATGAGCTTTATTTCTCATATCTACCAGCGAGAAGGGCATTCTTAGAATTATTCTCTACTTGAGTCGTATTAATCATTATTTCCTTGATAATCTTATATTTAAACATTAAAACTATGATTAAAGACTGACTTTGCTCCATAAATTAATCTCGGCACGTGGAATTTATGATCAGTGAATTAATTTGTCAAGGGAGAATCTCGTATTAAAGATCTTGTGCTTCGGGCTTGAATGGGATTCTGAGTTGGGATAAAATACCAGAATTTCTTTCGCAGCGCTACAATCCGTCGTCTAATCTCGGCTGCCCGGCTTTGTAGTCGCTAAAAATGTCGCCTTCTTCCCGGTCTTCGCCGCAGCGACCGGGCACCCCACGCGACCACAACTCCGTGCACGGCAGAAGAAGCAACTCGGAGTCTGACAGCTGCTCCGTCGCGTGAGTGTGGAGGGATCTTGATTTGGGATCATACCTATTCACCAGGATATGGTTGGGTTTTTTAATTTAGCAGATGTTTGAATTGGCATTTACGGGGATGTCTTTTCGATGAATAGTAATATTAAACCCGGCAGGCTAAAAGTTTACTGCGGTTAACAGAGCTTCTCAGGTTGTGCTGAAATGGCAAGTATGCTGGAGTTATATCCTGGTTGCCAAGAATATTGCATTTACGTTTTAATAATTCCAAGCGTATTTCCTACCAAGCCAGTTTTATCTACAACGAGCAAAGGGATTGAATTGCTGGAATTTGATTAAAGTTCATTCGAAACCTCAATAGCGAACTCTCATCAAGTTATAATAAAATTCATTCAACAAAGTAACTCATGATCTTTTTCCTCGAATTGTCAAGCATTCTTTCTCCGCTTTGGTGTATAGAATGTGCACCTATTTTGAGAGAACGTACTGCGACTAGAGAGCATCTCAAACATCGATGATATTCATGGGATCTAAATATATATGAATTATAATAACTTCGACCAATTATCGATTTCATGACTGTGAATTTATTCTTTAAACTTTCACAAATTTTTATTGAACAGTATTTGAATTGCTCATGATATTCCCTAATCCGTCCACCTCATGAGATAAGCGAGGTAATTTTGTTCACTTCTGAATAGTCATAGAATTGTACATGCATTCTTTCAGTGCCTAAACAATTCTGAAACTCTGACTTTTTAATTAATGCGTCATTGAAGGTCTTCAGAGACTGCGCGAGATCTAAATTTTCAATAAACCTATTGAATTACTGTCAGCAGTTAGTACTTAGTTTCGCACCCGCTAATTGAAAAGATCTAATTTCATCTCGATACTTTCTCTGTCTCGACGAATGCAGGTCGTTGCCTCTGGACTACCTGCTATATAACCAACGGCCAGCTGAAAAAACTCCCTTCTGCCGAACGTCGGACTACAGTGAAGTACGTGATTTCAGACGGTCTTTCCAGACCTTTTCAGGGGAGAAGACGAAGAACTTGGAATTTCTCATCACTGCAGATTCAAAACTAAATTTTGATTCTAGTCTCGAGTCGGGTCCGTACACCGAGCCGTGTGATTTTGATCTCGAACGCCATCAGGAAGAAAATGAGGAAGTGTCTGCAGCGAAATCTGACTCTGGAGATATAGAACGGGGTGCTTTAAGTCACTTGCGCGGAACTCAAGAATTAAATAAGATTTCATCAGAAGATAAAACCAGCATAATAGCTAGAAATTCCTTAACAGAAATTTCCTGTTCTCTCAGTTCGGGCGTAAGAAGTCCCGAAGTCATAGGATACCAGCTCGACGCCACTAACTTCAACCCAGACTTGTCTTTGGTCATCGAAGTTTGCCGAGACCCTGGGAAAAGGCGAAAGCTTATCAAATGCTCCTACGCAGCTCCTGATAACGAAGATTGGGACTTGCCTGACGTAGTGGAATCCTGTGACGTAAAACGGAAGCAGAAAGACGTGTCCGATGTGGAGACGATGCAACATCAAGCATGTTTCTCCGAACATCCTGCCAACACTGAGCTCGCTCATCAGGACAAAATTGAAGACGATGAATTACTCTCCAGATTCACGAATCACCAAATAAGAACAATTGTTAGCGGAAAACTCAACCGCATTTTTCAGTCAAAGAATATTCAAGCAGGTGGCACATCAAAGAGACTTCAAGATTTTCGTGATGAAAGTACCATCATAGATTGCTATAATATCACCAATTCCAACAAATCTAAGGCCAGCTTTAGAAATAGTTCCAGTTGTGGACGCGATGCGATATTCACTGGGATCGTGAACTTGGCTTACGAGGATACAATGATGGAAGGTACAAGGGACGGTCAAGAGACTCGCAGCGAACAAACCGAGGCACGTGGCGATGAGGGAGGTCACGCCATTCAGGGGTTCAGCACACGCTGCTTACCTCTCATTTTGTCCCTCGTAATTGGTGAGTATTGAATAGTCAGAACTATTATTAGGATGGAAAAGATTCACTCAAGGTTATTTTGCTGAATGAAGATCCTTAAAAACCTTTTGACTTGTTAAAAATACTCCAAATATTTGTTAATGTTCCTTGTCCGTATTTTATATCCGATTGATCTTGACGACTTGACGTCAAACAACTCGTGCTACTGCTCTCCGATGTAACATGTTTCCGCATTTTTCAATTTACTTTTTATAGTAGTTCACTCATTGCCTTCTAAAATTTTCATTGTATTCGTTTTAATATCCTATGATATTTTGCTGAATTAGGTATTCCTTCTCATGTCATTTATCGTACTTTAATGCAACTTAATTCTGAAATGGCAGCCTGGTTCTGCGTGGGCGCGGTGTCGAACTCTCTGCTGCTCATCAACGCCCCTCTGCCATACGAATGTTCGTCTCTCCAGCCTGCGCCTAAAATTGCGTCAGTCAATTACGAGAAATTTACATAGTAATGCAAATCGTTGGGACATTTTTTAAAATTCAATTACTGCCTAACATTTCGCGCGCCTCGTAAACTCATTGCTGAATCATTGGGAAAACTACTGATTACTTTAACTATGATAAAAGGGTCTTCAATCTCATCACAATGATTCTCTGGTTTTCGATATCGTCAAACTGAGTGTCGTATCGCCATTATTGTCACAATAATTGTCGAGTCTTCATTAACGTCACAATAATTGTAGGGTCGTCGCTATTGTAATAATGATAGCGGAAAATTCAAGTATTACATCCCTTTGAGCCTAGTTAACTTATTAAGTTACACTTCATCGTTTCATCCTCGCATTTTTCCTGAAAAAGCAATTTAACCTTCCGTGAAAATAACCATAAAGATGTTAGAGTTTAAAAGCTTATTAAGTATCTGATGACGTTCCCAGGTACCCGGGCAGTTATCGGATTAGCTCATTCGCCGTGCCCTTGCGGAATAACTTTTCATGCATCATTCCGAACAGTGACAAATCAGTGGTAAATAATTCGTCTAAGGCATCGGAAACTTCGTTTTCTTATGAAGAAATGTTGGTTTCCGATGCATTTCCTCTACAAGCGCCCAATTTTCCTCAACACAGTTCATTGAATTCCATGGATTTTGAAGAAGCTGGCATCGTTGAAAGTAAAAAAATTGAAAAACCCAAGGATGAGATTTTGGTCTTGCGAATCGGAAGCTTTGAAGTTTTAGTGGACGATTTGGCTGAGAAGCCTGACGTGAGTCACTTTGAGGGCGGTCAGCACACAAATGTCCAAAATATTGCAGGAAATGAACCGTTTTTTACGGCTCCTTATGAAGCAATTGAAGAGCAGGGATATTTTCCGCCGTACTCGCAAGAAAGTCTACGCCAGGCAGCATATGAAGCAAACGAGACTTTGACTTTGTTCGAAGCTGAGACTGAAAAAAATCATGTTACTAGTGTCAATGTAACAAATTACATTGAAACGGATTCAATGAATTCCCACTATTCCTCTTCAATCTTGAACTCGGCACAACAAGAAATTTTTCCACAAACCTTCGAAAATGTAAAGAATAATGTAAATTTTTCATCGCCAAGTTCATCCGTTGCCTCGGCTTCTTTCTTTGACAATTCATCTGAATTAACATTCGGGCAAAATTATCCAGCGCAAGAGAATCGTCAATATATTGAACTTCCTGACAAAGATTACGCGTCCCAAACTCCTATTGCAAACACTACAACGTACCATGACATCGATCGGATGGCTGGTGTAGACAAATTCTTCGTAGTTCAGAATAAGAACTCGGTGGAAATTGGTGAGTAAATTCGAAAAAATCATTTATTGCAGCATGTCGCATGATTACGACACGGCAAAATGGTGTATATCAAATGATGTATATCAAATGGTGTATATCAAATGGTGTATATCAAACGGTGTATATCAAATGATGTATATCAAATATTATGGTGTATATCAAATATCTTCTTCATTTAAATTAGTTTGAATATTGAAGATATTGCTTCAATTTTAGGGGAGCGACTGCCCCAATTTTTATCTCGGTTATTTAGAGACGTATCACTCCGAAACTTGATCCGCGTATGTAAAACCGAATTCTAAGACTTTTTTGTGCGTGTTAATTTTTCGAAAAAAAAAAAATTAAAGAAAACGTGAAATTCTTGGAAAACGGCCAAAAAAAAGGTACTGTAGAAATCTATCTTCTCCTAGGATGTTTAAGCTACAACATCGAGAAGCATATCATTCGATGCGCAAAGACCATATCTATAAAATTGTGTTTACGTTTTTTTGAAATTTTCAATTTTGTGGGAGTGGGAGCATTTTTCGTAATATTTTCAAAATTTTTCAATTTGTTTTTTTTTTCATCTTTTGAACAGAAGAAAATCCAAACTAAAACGGAATCAGAAAAACGCATGTACAATTCTGTAGATCTTTTCTTTGCAAATCGAACGGTATATCTCTCATTGCTGTAGCTTCAAAACTCTAGGAGGAGATAGGTTTGCAGTGACAATAAGTGTGAATGTTCATTAAAGCGCGACAAAGTCCAGAGCGCCTCGAAATAGGCGTTCAAAGGGGTAAGGATGCTTGACTAGAAGTTACCGGAGCTTAAATTCAGTCAAGGATGGTGGGAACTTATCTTGGTTTAATTATTCTGCTAAAAATCAAATCGTATATGTAATCTTGCTCAGTCCCAGAGTAAATTATCAATATTTAAGTGTATCCCTTTCAACCTGCTACTCCCCTTTGGCCGAGATGAAAGTGGGTCAGTGGCCTATTTTTTTTCATTCATGGTGAATTCACTGTTTTCTGGCTCAAAAAAATCGAATCGTATCATTTTCCGTGCAATGTCATTTAAGCTTAAATACTGTTAGCCATATCACTATTTCTAGCATCTTAAACCCCATCGTACGGCGAGAGAACGTATTTGCAGCCAGAATATCTGACTTTTACAAATTTTCATATGCTATTACATCCTTTTTTTAACTCCCATGTTCTTGGGGGCATGTTTTTGTGTAGGCACACCAGGTCACATCTGGCGCAAAACAGACTTCGATCCATGCCCCAACGTTTCGTACGACATGAGAGCTTTCCGGGAGACGTTAGTATCACACGTGAGTCCTACGGCTTCGTGGCCATGCCATAGCGTCGTTTTGTTATCGATTAAAGTTGTTTTGCGTTGAATTTTATACTATTGCGATACAATTACGGCTACCTAAAATCATTTAGATATGAAGACAGTGTTATTCGAAATTGAATTCCGGACATTAATGACATTTCATTTGTTGGTAAATTCCTTACTTCGCTGTTAATAATATAATAATAGTAATTTAATAAACCATTGGAGTGTTACTTCCTCGGTCCAATAACAATATTTTTATTCTAGTGTTAAATTATTGGATTTGCAGCTCAACTATTTTATTTACAGAAAATTATTTTTAACTAAACACTCACTGCAACGTAAATCTTCATTATGTTGCTGCCCGTTGTTGCTGACTATCGTTGGCTGTCAATTCAATGTTTTGGACTACACATTTTTTTCGAACGATTAATATAGTTTAACTGGGTTTTATGATGAACTAATCTCTTTTCCAGTTTCATCGGCTAAATGATTTCCAAGATCACTATATATAATTCTAACTGAGATTTGAGGCATCAACATGATTTCCTAATTAAATCAACTTGCTCATTTTATCCATTACCATATCCTTAAATCAGCCATTTTCGATTTTTAATCGAAAAATGGGCACGATGCCCATTTTTCGGTTATTCCATTTAGAAATTTTCCAGTTCCTTCTGATCCTAATTCACTTACCTGAATCTTGAGCGTTCATTCATCAAGCGATGCTCTCAGTAGCCTTATATCAGTAACTAAAATTTCCTTGATACATTATTGAGTGCTTATCATCTTATGCATTTCAAGCATGGCAATTTGGTCTATTTTTTATTTTTTGGAATTGATTGAGTAAACTGCCAATAGTTTTTTTCAACCTTTTTGAAGGAGATAAATTTTCATTTTACCATTTTTTTCCCTGCATTTCTGAGCAGCTGTGATTTAAAATTCATTCTGTTAGTTTCTCGCTCGACATTTTCATAACTTGACTTCTTTTAGTACATGCTTCATTCAGACGTGATGAGCACCATAATGGTTGTTTGCTATTTAATTTTACCTGGACTAAAGTTTCTGTTACTAAATTGATTAAATGAATTAAATAAAATTAAATCTATATGAATTTAACACGTTGACTACGATTGCTTCATCTTGTACTATTATTTCATTTTTTGTACTGTTTTTAAACAGGGTTGCCAGACGGTCATTTTTTCCGGACAAATTCCGTGATTTCGTTTTTCTCAGTTGCGTTGGCCGGCTAAAATTTATGATGGGGGTACTTCCTAATTAAATTTTAAATACTGCAAAAAGAAAATGAATGGAATTTTTATAGTGGAACTTACAAATATACTAGTATATTTTGAGTTATTGGCCTTTTTTTGCCTTTTTTATTCTCGGATTTGGCCAATTTTAGGCAACCTGAATTATGTACCACTACGTCCTGGAGAAATTCATTTCGTGGTACGCATATGTACCACTTCGTAGTCAACGTGTTAATGATTGTTTTCGGTTAAATTTGACCTGGACTAAATATCTGTTATTAAATCTGGTAAATGAAATAAATTAAATCGCCATGAATTAAACGATTGTTTGCGTTTAAGTACGACGTGGTGTGCGGACGGTCGTGGCTGCGACAGCTCATCCAGAGCCTCCAGGCGGCGGCCGGTGCCTTAGGCGGCCTCGCTGGCACGGCTCTGGCTGACAGGTTCAATTTATTTCTTTATTGCATGTTATTTTATATTTTTAAACCTTAGTTATATTCTGTTTATTCTCAAAAGATTCAATTTTAAACCTTAGTTATATTCTGTTTATTCTCATGAGATTCAAGAACTGAGTTATTATATTTTAAATTGGTAAATATTTTATCTGAACAGATCATTTCGTTTATAATTGTCGACTAGCGTGAATTTAATTGCTGACAAATAAATACATTCAAACATTGCTTAATATTCGCCCAATTGTTGGTCGACTGCAGCTAAATAGCAACTTTTGAAGTCATTTCATTCAAATTTATTTTGCTTATTTATTTTTAATGACATTCGCCAGCAAGTTAGTCTACGTAATTTGCTCCAAATATTTAAATAACTTGAAGTGAAATACATTATATTTATACATACATTATAGATTGTTCAAATTTACGAATTTTGCGTAATATGCTAAATTGTCTAAAAATAAGTGTTATCAGTTTCATTATTATCCATGCCATTGCAATTTTTGTCCATGCCATTGCATTGTCATCCATGCCATTGCATTGTCATCCATGCTATTGCATTGTCATCCATGCCATTGCATTGTTATCCATGCCATTGCATTGTTATCCATGCCATTGCATTGTTATCCATGCCATTGCCATTGCATTGTTATCCATGTCATTGCATTGTTATCCATGCCATTGCATTTTTATCCATGCCATTTCCTTATTATCCATGCCATTTCCTTATTATCCATGCCATTTCATTATTATCCATGCCATTCCATGCCATTTTCAACCACGCCGTTGCATTGTTATCCATGCCATTGCATTGTTATCCATGCCATTGCTCTGCACCAGGGTCGAGCGCTTGCTAGGCGCACAGTTGTGCGCAGCTCTGCACGTCGTCTGTAGCTGCGTGTGTCTGTGGGTTGCGCCCTCAGTGCTGTGGTGGCTCTTGGCGTGGACGGTGCTTAACGCGGCGCTATCATCACTATCTTTCATTCTGCTCATTATGGGTAATGATTGTAATTAGTAGAAGCTCATGATATTAGGTAGATTTTTAAAATTTAGTTACATTTTGAATGCTGGTACCCAAATGTCAGTATAATTTCTTCAAATTTCATTCCTCAATGGATTGTATATTTCAAAAGATCTTTTAGCATTTCATCTTCTAATATTTCGCCCACGTAACTAAAAATGTCCTGTAGCCATATTTTAAAAATTGTCCTGCAATAAATGATTGGTTCAAGTAATTTAAAACTTCTTTCAACATAAATGAAAAAAAATCAATATACTTCTGTCAACATAACTGATATTCATCTATAATGTATAACGTATATTTTTCTATTCTATTTTTTCTATTTCTATTTTTTACCAAAAATATTTTTCTATTCTATTTTAACCAGTAGTTCTATTTTTTGATCAAAAATATTTTTCTATTCTATTTTAACCAAAAGTTCTATTTTTTACCAAAAATATTTTTCTATTCTATTTTAACCAAAAGTTAAATTTTTTGACCAAAAAATATTTTTCTATTCTATTTTAACCAAAAGTTCTATTTTTTTACCAAAAATGTTTTTGTGCCAGCGGCCGACGCGCTGCCGGTGGACATGGTGGCCCCGGTGAGCCTGGCGACGTTGCTGCCCCACGGCCTGGGGACCATCACCGCGGGGCTGGCGGGGGACCACTACCGGCACTGGCAGCCATTACTCCTCATCGCCACGTCCCCAGCCTTCCTCCTGCTTCCCCTATCTTTGTGAGAGTTCAATAAAAAAAAACTCAGTACTCACTGCAGTGAGTGACAGAGAGCTCAATCAAAAAATATAACTCGGTACTCACTGCAGTGAGTGACAGAGAGCGCATTTTCTCGTCGACGTAAACGTAAAATCACGGATAGACAGACGGACGGATGGACGGACATGACGAGCACAATAGCGCCTTTTTTCGATAAATGAGAAAATGCGCTAAAACGAATAGGGGAAATATGCTCCGCTGTAAACACTATTGCTACGAGCAGTATGGACTAAACAATGAAATTAAACTCTTCGATTCCATGAACTCCGAGTATCTTTAACGTGCCAAGAAAAGTACAATATTTTACTTCTGGCTTTTTGAGATTTACAAGTAACTTGAAATAAATTGAGCTTTTAGAATATACGTTTTCTCCGCTCGGTTCTAACTAGTGTAAAAGTTTATTCATTTTTTGAAACCATGATTTTCACCTGGTAATACCGAATAGTCATCGAATCTCCCGAATAATCAGTTTTCTCACTTGACTACGCAAGAAAATATTCTTCATCACGAGAAGATTGATAATTAATTTACTATTGCTTGACACTGAAGAACATGTGACTGCTATAGGTATTTTTTATCAACTCCAGTCAACCTTGATTAAACTTGTTCGTGCTGCAGCCATTAAGTTAAATTCAATAATGGATCAGAAACAAAGTTGAAATTTATCGATAATTTCGAAATTTTTTATCACTAGTCGAGTACGCATCCACACCATATAAATACCATCAAAATTGTGTTAATATACGCCTTTCTATCAAAATCCGTTTTTCACAACCAATACCATGAAGGTCATCCACCTCATTGGGAATATAGTTATAGTTAATCAATTTTATCCAAATGATTCCGAGCACGATTATTAAAGCGACTTCGACCTTCCCGCTGGTATAATGTATTTAAATTTTTGACTAATATAACTAAACTTTCTTTCGCAGGCTCGTTCTCGCGCAGCCGCTGCCGCCTGCTAAGCGCAGCAAGCAGCTGAGCGGCGCAGCAAATCAATTGAATGCTCGTCTGGAAATGTCGCCAACTTCCGCCAGCGAAGTAATGTTGAATTAATATCGATATAACACCTCAATTAATTTTATTATAAAAACCAGCTGTTTATTCTGATCAATTAGAAACGATTCCCGAGTGAATGGAGTTAAATCGTTGAAACGAACCACATCGTCTATTATCTCTATTAAATCAAGAAACTTAGGTTCATAATAATGAGTCGAGAAATACACTAATCAGAAAATGTGAACGTATGAATTTTGTTATTTGTGTGCCTCTCATTTGTAGCTGTAACTTATACCACTAAGAGTACTTTACGTTAACCAGTCACTACGTGTAATATTTCATTATTTAAGCAGTACTGCGTAGTAGTTCATTAGTTAAGCAGTACTGCATAATAGTTCATTAGTTAAGCAGTACTGCATAATAGTTCATTAGTTAAGCAGTACTGCGTAATAGTTCATTAGTTAAGCAGTACTGCGTAATAGTTCATTAGTTAAGCAGTACTGCATAGTAGTTCACTAGTTGAGCAGTACTGCGTAGTAGTACACTAGTTAAGCAGTACTGCGTAGTAGTTCAGTAGTTAAGCAGTACTGCGTAGTAGTTCACTAGTTAAGCAGTGCTGAGTACTAAAGTACAACGTATTGTTGTACACAGAAGTCGGCGGGCTCAAGCACGACGCAGTGCTGGCAGTTGTTGTTGCTGCTGCTGCTGTGGCTGCTGCACGGCTGCGCTGCAGCCTTCCTACAGCCACACCTCGTACTGCGCTTGCCTGAGTAAGACAGCACAGTCCTGTGCATTAACCTGTGTTTAATTACAATTTCAAATTGACCAAATTTAAATTGACCTGTGTATGTAAATTGTAGGTGTAGTCAATTATGATATATATACAGAGCTGGGCAGCGCTACTTTGAAATGTAGCGGTTACCGCTACCGCTACATGCTCTAAATGTAGCGGGCGCTACCGCTACCGCTACATGCTCTAAATGTAGCGGGCGCTACCGCTACCGCTACATGCTCTAAATGTAGCGGGCGCTACCGCTACCGATACAATTACTTAAATGTAGCGCCGCTACCGCTACCGCTACAGAAAATGCAGCGCGCTACTGCCACCTCTGGATATATATTAATGAATATATTCATTGTTTTAGCGAGCATTTCATTATTCGTATTATTGATAGGCTATTTTATTCTGCTGTTATTGGTATTAATAATAATGCTATGAAAATTAATGAATAGGTAGATAAAGATAAATGATCTTCTCTACTGATTTTTAGTTTTTTGCACATTTGCTGTGAATTTCCATAGTATAAATTTTTATTTTAGCTTCTGCATGAAGAACTGCGTTTTCTCCGAATAAGATCTGCATGAAAAAAATTGAGATAGTGAGATGGTTAACCCTTTTAAATTATTATTCAGGGAGCTCCTGAGGGAAGTGCAAAATCAGGTGTACCACAATTTGCATATATCCATATTTACTCTTTGCACCGAGTTCAAGTAATCATTCTGCGCATAACAGTTCTGAGATATTTTATATAACCGATGAGTTCAGACTTTCTCTCGCTTTTCTTTTTCATATTCCCACTTCATAGTTATTTTGCATATTTATGTTTATATTTTTGAGTTCAGCTCGTTTTGTACGTCTTTTTTCTCATTCACATACTATGTGATGGTCTCATATTACCGTTATTTGCCTTTTCATTTTTACACATCCATTCCATCCATCCCGAAATCAATCTCTTACCAAGATCACTAGTAATCAAATGCTTATTGCGCCATTTCCCTATTTGCTGCTCATTTTTCAGTTCAAATATTGCTCTTCTGCTTTTTATACTATTTTGCTTTATTTTATTTAATTCTCCTTAACTTCCACTCAACCTTCTCCATTTTGCGTGTCCAGCTCTCCATTCCTCCTGCTTGTCGCCCTCGGAGCCCTCGCCATCTTGGCCTCCGTCACGGCACTCGCCTTCACCAGCTTCAAGATGCGCTACCGTCACGCTGTTTTATCTTCATTATCAGCCATCTTATCACTTGCTTGCTTAGTGATGAACTTCATAGCCGTTGGTGAGGGGAATTTCGAGATTTTTCAGCCTGAACCACGCTGTAATTTAAGAATTCCCATATGATAACAATGAGAATTCCAGAAAATAATTTTCATGGATACATTTTTAATGAATTTGATTCACTGTGTCATAAATTTTGCTCCTAACATAACGACTGAGTTCACAAAATTAGAATTTTTCTTGTGAGACAAGTTTTCAAATTCACGTGAAGTTTTTATTAAGGAACAATTCATGTTCCATTACAATCCTGCTTGCCGTCCATGTCTCGTAGATCGTCATGGCGATGTGGTGTTGCTTTGCTTCCTAGCTACCGCGACAATATTTTCCATGGCCTCCCTGCTGGTGAGTTAAATTCCTACCCTCGACAGCGCTTACTAACTTAGGAATTGGTTTTTCCATTTTCTTTAACCTGTGTCTGTTAAGGATAGGTTCTGGTTTTATAATCGAAGTGCACTTCCTCCTTAATTGGTTTCTGACAATCATTGTGTCGATAATTTCTCAGTTTTGGCGAAAAGTGGCTTTGATCATTTGTCTGGGCAAATCACCTAGTTATTTTAATGTTATATATAAATTAAATATAAGGTATGTAACTAACGCTTGAAGTCTTTCTATATATTCAGCTTCAAATCATTCTGAGGTGTGCAATGCAATATATGCAATGCTGTAATTGTATAATTTGCTTCATTTCACGTTGGTAATAATGCAATTTAGGCTTCAAGTTAACATATATCGACCAAAGAACGTTTAGTCTATGAATTATTAATCGTTCCAAGCAGACTTTTGAACGCAGTTTTCTGTATTTCAGTCGCTGCAAGTTCACGCGGTGCTCACGCCGTGCGGCAGATGGCGCTGCGTTTTGGTCTCGTCTTGCTACGTCGCTGCCACCTTAGGGCGCGTGATCTTCTTGCTCGTTGATGCCTACGCTAGAGTGAGTTGGTAGCGTTGTAGCTTCATCAATGTTCTTATTAGATAGTAATGCGATATACGTATACTATTTATGTTGTGAATGAGCTGTGAGGAAAATTGAACAATGTTTGCATCAAACAATATAGATAAATTCATTTTTTATTATTGATGTAACTACTATATGTAGCGAATTATTTTGCGATTCAATAAAAAAAGATGTACACAGCGAATTTCTGGCATTGCAGGCGCGGAGTACGTAGAAAATTACCGGCTCATTTCTAGGACCGTTCAATACAATTAATATTTCAACATATATCAATAGATTCAAATCTATATATTTTTTGGCGCTTACGCTCATGGAAAACTTTATTTTTAAACGGCAGGTTGGTGCCTGGTTTCCAGCTGCAGCTGCGGCAGCAATGCAATCGGTCGCATGTGCCCTCAGCTTCTTTTTGCCTGTCAACACTAGCAAATTTTAATCCCAGAACGCGAACTCCTAACTTAAATATTTTTTTCACTGTTGAGAAAACTTAGACTGTAAGCTGGAAAACTTGTAAATAATGCAACCACTGGGCTAATTTAAGGGAAAATGCTATGAGGCAAGTGCACTATTGGACCTCCTAACAGGGTTGTTATCTAAGGTATTTAGGAAATTTGTGGCACAGCTCTGCATGGTGAGGGATAAGTATTAATTATATTCATTTGTAATCACTGGATACGTCAGTGAAAAACTAATTCAGAGAAATTTCTATTTGTGCTGAGTCACTCTGTGACTCAAGGAATTGTAGATCTGTAGGAAACGACATTTACCGCATATTTCAGTTAGTGTTTGCATGCACATTGCACAAGTTTATTATGCATGTAGAATAATAGCTATTAAGGGGTTTGTTCCTCAATTAATGGTTTGCATTTTTCTTTCGCTTTTTGTAGGCGAGGAATAGTGTCTGCGTAAAATACGAGAGTTTTACGTCATCTCTGGTTAAACGCTAATCTTGATAGAAATTTAATATAATTGTATTTTTAATTGCAATAAAATCAAGTTAATAAAGTTGAAATGTGGAAGAAATAAATGTAAAATTTTGGTACGAATAAAGTTATAAAATTATTTTTCCTGAATTTTTATAACCATTGTACATGTTGGCAGTAATTATAAATGGAAATCGTATTTGCACCAGAAGGATTGTTATAACTACGTTAGTGAAATTTAAATGTACACCGAACGTAGTTGACTGAAATTACTAACGTGGAACCTAACACTAATGTTACGATTCATGTTCAGTCCCCGATTACATAATATGTTCGCAGTATTTATGGTTAAAAAGTCCGTTTTATTATGAAACTATTGGTAACCACGGATATCGAGTGGTCAAGTTACACTTATCTCGCCCTGCATGTAACACCACATTATCGTTATAACACTCGTTATCGTCGTAATACTCGACATCCTTGTATCCAACACCATTTATCTGCAGTTCATCACGCAATTATGTCGACTGGCAGACATTCCTTCGACTGAAATTCCCGAAATATTGCTCTAGAATCGCACCTGCACTCTAAACGCTGGCCAATCCTCTTCCCTGCACCGCCAGCAATGACCAGTTGTTGATGATATTCGGGACCCTGGTTAGGCCACAAATTAAGCCTGCGCTGTGCAAGGAAGCTACCCCCGATCGCGGGCTCGGACCAAAGATGTGCGACGGATGTTGTGCGACACCGAAAATATATATGCAATTGTGAGACGTGCTTTTTATCGCTCGTTGCTGTTGTCGTAAAATTCGGGGTCCCCCCGGTTTTACCCCGCGCTCTCAGTACGCGTATTGATACTTGTATCTTCCAACTTTATACTCACAACCCAGGAAATCGCGGAATGGGGGGTAAAATGTTACTTTTTCGGTCATAACTCGGCAACGCCTGCTCCGATTCTGTCTCTTATACACATCTAGATGTGTATAAGAGACAGGCTTGAGCACATTGTATGAGACATCGTGGGATGTAAGATGGTTTAGTTTATTGTAGTTTATTGTAGTTTATTGATATTGATATTAAAATGTAGGGGGCACTGGGATATTCTGGTTAGGTTAGGGTTAGAGATAAGGTTAGGGTTGTAAAAAGGGTTAGTTCAGAGTTAGGACTAATCCTAAAGGGGTTTAAGCTCAGCCAGGCCAAGTTTTTTTTTGTTTAAATAAGGTTAACTATATAGCATGGGAACGTTTCAGTATACTTGCCCGATCTGATCATTCAGGTAACATCCATTTACTGAGTACTGATCAATTATGTAGATGGTGTTCGATCACTAATTAGGACACTATTGAATGAGTGATATATGGATGATGAGAAAGAAACCATTTGCTTGCAGTTTTCGTGGCAAGTATTTTTTAGTTACATATTCCAATAAAATTGTTACTACACAAATTCAAGTGCCTGCGCGTATGTGGTGCGTAAGTCTGGTGTGAATGAAAATTGACAGCGTATTTACCAATCACCACACAATAGAATTCGAACAATCTTCATCAGGACTTCACCACAATAAATCAAGGCCAGTTTGCGATGTACAATTGTCCCGCGTATAAATAGGAATTTCTTAGATAATGCCACTCGTGATGGTACTATTTGATGCCACATCCTGATGGCACCGTTGACATCACGCACCTGTTGATGGTGCTCATCGAGTCATATCGACGATGCACCGTCTTCACTATACCGTAAATGCACCTTAAAACTGAGTCTGTAGTGGACAAACGCAATGATGAAGTATGCACCTGCTTATTGAGCGCATGAATTATAGTTGCATTGCTTTTCACAAGCAGAGGTAAGTAATGAACTCGCAAATAAATGTCATCGATTGCAAATCAATACACATCTGTCTTCGAGTATATATAGAGCCAACGCGCGCTGACAGCTTAGCAGTAGGCCTAGTCAAGAGTCTCAACTAACTGAAGTTTACACACCTGGAAATATATTATACCATCTTTAATTTTAGATATTTTTTACACAAAGATGGGAATTAAAAACTTGACCCTCAGATATTTGCTTCTATGGTACTTTTTCTTCATGAGGGCTATCGGAGTAGCACCATATTCTCTGAAGCAGGGAAAAATCATTGTAAACCAAGTGTACTGGGGCATCAGTGCTACGATTCACATTTTTTTAGTTTTGTACTATTGCTTGCAAATTTACTACACCACTCAGTCGTCATCGGAGAGCATGAGTGGCTACATCCTGCAAGCTTACGCACTGGCAATGTGCTTCTTTGTTGCAAGCATACGATTGGATTTTCTGGCATTTCCGCGGAAAATTGCGAAAGTCATAAATTATTTTACTTCTGTCTCAAGAGTTGACACTCGCATCAGTGCCTGGATGCTGGTAGTCCTGGGCCTGGACCTCTTATGCGACAGCTACATCGTCTACTACATCGTCACCGAGTTAAGTGACGATGCATTTACCACATATGCCCGTGCGATTTTAAACATCGTTAATTATCTTCTCCTACGTACAGTATTTCTTGGTTTCACAGTAATGATGCAGCACGTCGAAAAAAATCTTACGCTGCTTAAATTCGGTCTGAAAGACGATGAAAACTCCTGGAGCGAATACAAGTGCGGAGGAAAATGGCACAACAAAGAGCTTCATGAATGGCAGTGCAAACTCTTGGAAGACATCCAAATATGCATCAAAACAACAAGGCGATCAGTTCACTGTCTTCATCGAGTGCTTGTTTTTCCAGTTTTTGCATTTTTAGTTTTCCAACAAATTGATTTTCTCTGCATTTGCCTGGCCACCATGTACCCAGATTTTCCAAAAATTAGAAACCTCGTCGCAGTCTTTCTTGTGCCACGAGCTCTGCACATTTGGCTTCTCATCGACTCACAGACGGGATACGCGCAATCGGTGTGTTAATTTTTATTATTCAATAAAAACTTCATCCTTTATTGTTGAGCTTTAATAAAAACATTAAATATCAAAGTCAATCAGTAGGTCCCGCTATGAAACGCTTGTCTATGATCCTGAAAAATACAATACAGTACTCATAGTTCATACAATACTAGGTGACTAACACCGATTTGAGTTCATTTGAGTTGAGCTCACAAGTTTAGGTGATGAGTTGGTAGGTATGTGGGATTGTGTGGATAGGTAATTGGGCCGATGTACACTGTAAAGCGCAAGTGAGCTGTATAATGACTATCAGTTTCTCTTGCTATTCAGCAACGACTTCCTCGAGTCGAAGCGAAAAATTCCGTGTGCTGACTATTATAGATTCGTCAATACCTGTTTCAGTGAGAATCTTTCTGAACGAGACCCTCCCGCTGCAGAAATTATTTTCACTATGCATTTCGTATACATTTTTCAATTACGCATAGATCGAACGTTTGTGATGCGGAAATAGACCTTGACCATGTAAGAGCTATCGCTGTCCAAGTTTCTTTTAAAATAATTTTGAGGTGTTATCTGTCCCCGCAGATTAATTACACCTATTTACACGCGATGATTCTGTATTGCAGTGTACAGACGTCATTCAACGCACCAAGAAGCTGATCATAAAGAGCAATAGAGACGGACACAGCACGCAGGTAATTTTGGCTTTCCCTTGTGCATGTTAGCAAGAAGAAATTAACAGGATAACATGTGTAACATATTTAGCTAAAACATCAGCATGCAGCTTTCGAAACAAATGCGTCGGACGTAGAAGCGTCTCTTGCATAGGAGTACATTTGACTTGAAAATATCGATATAGTTTCGGGTTTTTGTATATATAATACGAAGTTTACAAACACGTTTTAGATTATGTGAACGTAATATTACTTTTGGGTGTGTTCTGCGCCTAATAGAGATTAAAATATATAACAAAAGCAAATTCAATGCACCGAACAAATTTATCTCTATTGATTTGTGACGAAACGCCCTGAGAGCGCAAGATAAATTTACACCCTAGATTCCTATGTATTGATATTATGATTTAATTTACATTTTCGTGCGAACGCTCAATGAGGATCAACAAAATCATTGCAAGAATATGACGCAGGTATTCATCAAGTTTAACATTTTCAAGTGTTATTTAATTTTTCTGATAAACTATGAAAAAAAAATTAATTTCATTACTTTATTTTATTATTTCTTTTTGTCAATCTTACGCGACGATTATTTCATCCAAGAAAATATGGCATCTGCGCGGCATCCAAAATGAGCTGGAGCGCATGCCTCGCTTCACGATCTTTGGGCTCTTCGAGCTGGGCCGACACTGCCTCCTGTCGGTGAGTGTTGTGTGCCACAGCCACTCTTCCTGCTGGGCCGACACTGCTTCTTGTCGATGCGTGATTCTCAATCTTCTGTGACTGCCTCAAAACTGTCATTATTAATTCTAGATGAAATGACGTGCGTCAATACTATGGCTTCATTTGTGTTCGCATATTCTCTGTGAATTGACTCGCTCCTAAAACGTTTGAAATAACCCTCAATAGCCTTTTGTTCGATACAACATCGATGCAACATAGAATCTATTGCGATGACATATTCACAAGTTATACTCAGAAGTAATTTCAAAAGTCATTTAATAAAGTAAACAATGTCTATCTCTTTTTAGCGCATTTTCTTATTTATGAAAAAATGCCCTATTGTGCTCGTCATGTCCGTCCATCTGTCTGTCCGTCTGTCCGTCCGTGACTTCACGTTTTCGGTGACGAGAAAATGCGCTCTCTGTCACTCACTGCAGTGTGTACTGAGTTATATTTTTTCACCTTTCAGATGCTTTCATTGCTTCTAACGTACGTCATCATCGTTGCACAGTTCGTGATGAGCTCCAATCCCGTGACATGCAGCAACGTACAGCATCTCTATTCGTCAAAGGATCGAGAGCCAGTTTCTCACGTTTGATCGTGTTATCGCCTTTCAGCCTTACACGTTAAGAACAACATAGAATATTGATAATATGCAGGTTTAAATACGAGTACTTAACTGGTTTTGAATGTGAAAAATAATCTATCAATGAGAGTTGGAATTCCGCACCATTGCGTTTACATTTTATTCTTTCATGCTGTAAAAAAAAGTTTAACGATATTGATTGCTAGATGATGATTCTTGTATTCGAATTTTACGGTCATTCTATCCGCCATTTATTGGTGACTATAGATATATTTCGTGTTATAGTGCAAGCAGCTCGCACCACAGGCTAGTGAACACTGAGCAATTGCCAGACCGCCGTTAAATCAAAACGATGGGTTATACTATTTCTGCCAAAGATAAGCTAGGATAGTGACAAGTTGACGCTCACATATAATATCATCCAGGCAGGAGCAAACGATAATTCTACGCGGTAAATAGTATAATAATTTGAAGCACAAAATGCTTAAATAATGCATAAACTAGGCAAAATACGAGACAAGTTATACTTATTTACTGCGCAAAGAATTTCAATAAGTAAATGCTTGCAAAAAAACTCTCTGGCACTGTATTTTCTTCTATCTAGGTGAGCATAGCTGCTTTAAACTCGTAGCACAAAATGGAGGTTGGATAAAAATCTATAGATAGTAAACATGAAGAATTTAGGTGAAATTCTTCGGAATGCATTTCATATTCAACTATGATGCTATATGATTTCTGTAATACACAAATTCTTAATTAGGAGGAGGATCTTTCTCTCCACGTTATTCAGCACCGCTAAACTCTGCAGTGTCAATATATCGATGAATATCGCTGTAATATATTTATATTTGAATGTTTTTTAATGATTCCAAATAAAATATCTCCATAAACGACATAATATATATTTTAAGATTTATAAATGCAAAGTTACCTATGTCTAAAATGGGTAAACGAATACCTACCTGTGAACTATTTGATACAGGGAAACCTAGGCAGAAAATATGAAACCAAGGGTAAACCATGTAAATAATTTAGCTGCCATTATCTGTTCGTTTCCCAAGTATATTTTGCCTGTGATAATTAAATAGAGCTTCGCATATGCAGTTGTCTGTATCTGAAACGATGATCACTCCTTATGTGCTAATTTGAACCATTGTATATTCAAGTCGTGTGAAATTTATTTCTGAATAAAAATTTGATAAAAAATGCGTTCTATGAAAGGCGTATGCCAAGATTAAGAGAATACTTCGATGAAATGATTCAAAACAACGCACGAATCATATGTGAATCAAGAATTATAGTCCATGTTTTGTCTTAATCAAATGCTCACGTGGGTATGCTGTAAATAGATACACACACAGCGTATCCTGTGAGGACAAAATAACGACTATGTATAAAATGGAATAGTGAATAAATAATAATCTAAGTGTTGTGTGTATGAAGGAGTTACGTAGCATTCTCTTCGATGGCATCATACAAGTCGAATAAGAGGCGTGGCTACTGAAACACCATGCAATATGTTGTCAGAGGTGATAAGCAATTTTGCTGCTGATGTCATCGAAGAAGTGAGTACACTCGTGCATGCAAAGAAAACAGACGTAACTAAGAAGTTGAATATGAAAAAGAATCTGTAATTGAAAATTCATTCTCATCTACGCTGTTACTTCCTCTCTCCTTCACACTTTTTTTCTCGCCTTTCCTAAAAGAACGACCTGCAAACCATTCCATCCAGCATTTTTTGCTTGCTTTAACCAAATTTGCTTCTATTCAACATCTAATACACAACAAATACACAATTATTTACTTTTTTGAATCGCTTTTCCTTGACAAACGGTCTCTTTAGGTTAATAGATTGTCCAAGAAGTTCATTTTAGCTAATTTTCATCTGATATCATGCTAAATGCGGTAGTAACTTGTAAAGTGAGAGTATTAAATTTCACAACATTAGAAGAGGGAAATGCTGTACCGAATAGGCAAGAATATTTCTAGTTGAGTATTCATGCACTATCACACATTGCAAATCCGATTTGTCCGAGTCAAATTTCGGAATAAATATGGGACAGAATTGCATAATTCAATTATAATGCGATTGAAAATTTTTACTCGAGGCTCTGTCTCGAAGAATTGCTAACATCTATGCACTGGCAGGAGACAGGTGCTCCGCTGCTGGCGAACTGAACGACGATGATGACGTAAGTCAGCACCAGAGACCCCATCTGGCATTTAAACATATAATATGAATCAATGGGGGTAAAGGGATCCGACGAAAAGTATATAAGTTGATTGATTGCTCACATGAATAGCTCAACGATAATTTTTTATCCGAACAAACGCTCCATATGAATTGAAAATAACTGATGTATTTCACCAATTTCATCGTTCACCAGTAACAAACACCCTATGAAAACTGCACGACAAATTCTAAAATAGTAACTTTTCAAATAAGGAATGATCCATTTTAGTATGAAAAATATATTTATCAATACAGATACTAACTGATCAGAGACAGTATATATCGGGCCAGCCCGAACGCCGAATGTGGCACACAACACTCATTAACAGGAGGCAGTGTCGGCCCAGCTCGAAGAGTGGCTGTGGCACACAACACTCACTGACAGGAGGCAGTGTCGGCCCAGCTCGAAGAGTGGCTGTGGCACACAACACTCACCGACAGGAGGCAGTGTCGGCCCAGCTCGAAGAGTGGCTGTATGGAATCTAATCTTTCTAATTTCCATATCAGCAGTGGTTCAGCAAAAATATCGCCGAAATCATAAAAATTTGCACTTTTTGGCAGGAATCTGCTTCTAATAAGTTAAAAAAATAACAGCTCATATTTCTGTCGTAACCGATAAAGAGAGCTTTGTCAAAGCTCTTCTGACTGAAGCCGTTAAAAAAACGAAGATAACCAAGCCTTTCTGCAGAGGGCCAATAAAACCACTTGCAATATATTTGCATTTGTTATTAAGTGCATATTCCTGCACTTAACACGTGAAATTAGTGAGTTGCTATTTCATTTCTGACTGTTTTTTGGAAGAAAAATTTCGTGGTAATTTTGTTTGTAAATTTTGTTGAGAAAAAACGCTGATTTTTAGTTTGTTTAGATTTTGATGTTTACGCCAATACAAAAACCATAGTAACCTTTGAATTTCGAGCATTTAAAATTCAGAGAATAACAGCCGTTTTCAGTGTTCTATCGAATGCAATGGTATATAATGATGAGTTAATCAGTGTAAATGCAAGGGTGGCGACCGTCACCAGGCCATTGGAGATTGAATGAACTTGGCTGGAGACTCCCACCAGAATTAGACGACGGGACAATTGATATAACATGTGCAGCTGTGGACATAGACGTGACCATGCAAGAGCGATATTTCTGGAGGCTTGCGAGTCAAGTGCAAGACCAGGAGATTTAGTAACAATCCCTATTCGTCTTAAATCAATCGGAACTGACTAAAGCTAAGCAATGCTACGCTATTAACATACTAGAATCATGATTTGAATGAACAAAGCGTTTAGCGCGTAACAGTATAACTAAATTACCTGAAGTGTTGTTTTTATAACTACCGAATAACCTAGAGATTATGTGACGATGAAAGCAATTGGTTGAGGTTTAGCTGAGACTGCAGTTACAGCTAACAGGTTTGCACGTCACAGGATTGCTGCTTGTCATGAATTGAACAGCGATGATAACGTACGTCAGCACGATGGATCCCATCTGAAAAAATATCAAATAAGCATCGGCAGCAATCGACAATAAGGCATTATATGAGGTAAAATTGACACTATTATATGTGAGGCATTATTTGAGGTAAAATTGACACTTCTTGCTACAGATGCTGAAACCAGAATGAACTAGTGTCGGCCCGACTTGGACTAACAACAGTCGTCAGTGTTGCCAGGCTGTGCCTCACAACACTCACCGACAGAAGGCAGTGTCGGCCCAGCTCGAATAGAGGCTGTGGCCGAAGCTCGAAGAGTGGCTGTGGCACACAACACTCACTGACAGGAGGCAGTGTCGGCCCAGCTCGAAGAGTGGCTGTGGCACACAACACTCACTGACAGGAGGNTTCTACAGTTACGAGAGTAAAAGTTATCGATATGATCAAAAAAGGAACCTGCTAAAGTGATTCTGAGCAGTAAAAGCCTCAAAATTTACGATTGGAATGAATGAGGTCACAAAATACTATAATAAGAAAAGTAAAGAATATCAATTGCCATTCTCAGGTAATGGGTCGCGGTATAAGATCTAATCGATCGATTGGAACCTGTCGATTCGCGTGCACATTTTCCGGATAACGTTGTTTTATACAGGAATTCAACTCTTTCACCACGGAGTTTTTACTTCATAAATGCATTTACATATTAGCTGATAACAATTAATTACGCCCAGAATGTGCTTTATCTCAAGTCACGCCACAATACCATTTCGATAAAACTTATATATAATTGCATTCAGCCGTATGAATCCAGGATGAATCCATTAAATGAAAATATCAAAGAACACATGCCGCTATTCGGTAATCAATTTGAGAGTCAACTACGAGCCCCAGTTTGTAAACCGTTGGCAACGAGAATAAAAGAGATTGCCAAGCCGAGCCAGACTTGGTATCTCCGCACATTCCATGGAGAGCAAGAGTTCAACTTGTTCGTACACCAAGATTCTCAAGGCAGCGGCTGAAAAGGCTTTATGTATGCAGCCGACTGTCTAGCGCAATGTTTTCAGTTATTATCTGACGTTTCAAAGACGAGATGTAGCGAAGGTTTCAGGATTTTCGAATCCATTTGGCCTCGAGGACTTTAGAGCTATCTTCGCAACTTCCTTCGTATAACTTCGTTTTCTTAAGTAGGCAAAGCTATATAAGTCAAGCGTACGCTACAGTAGGGAGGTTTTGGAAGCTGAATGCACAACAATTTTGCGTTCTATGTAACGTCTTGAAATTTTTCGGAAAAGGTAACTTTTTAGCATGTTATTTATCTCTGATGTCACAATATTCATTGCTGTATGCTGGAGAAGGGTGCCAGAAACGAATGCTAAAAAGCCCGTGTGGTTGTTTGTGAAAGGAAAATCCGTTAGAACTTTGACGCCTGGAACTGGAATATATTGTGTGTTTGAATTCATTAGATTGTGCTTGATTATCAAAACAACTCTTGTGTGTACCAAAAGAATCCACATAACGGCCATAAACACAGCAGATACAGCTGGCGGCCAGAATTTCAAGACGGCACGGCAACATAAAAGTTTGAGCTTGCCATCTCAGCAGATAGAAAATTGGAAAGTCCGAAGAGGATTGTCCTCAAAAGTTGCGAGGCTACACTAAGTCCCATATAAACTTGAGAAATGATAAACTTGTCATTGCACTGTAGCGGGATAACTACGCTCCATACACAAAGTTACTGGGTCTCTGCAAGCGGGCCCTGACGTACGAGGATGAATGACAATTGGTTCAGCATATTTACAAAAGCCATCAGATTTACTTATATTTCATGGAAAACCCGCTTCCAAGACATAGGACCAAAATTACATGCATTTAGGTTTGATAGTGCAGACAATATAGAGACATTAATTACAGATATTTACAGCCATTACAAATTGTGGTAGGTCAGGCAAAGTTAGGCTGCCTACTCGCAATGAGCTGCTTCCCGAGTAAACTACCTACGCCTACTTCTTCTCTTCGGTCTTGGTTAGAGAGGTGCGGCGGCTGAAGAAAACTACAGCGCGGCCAAGGCTGGCCAGCTACATTCCTCCCCCCCAAGACGTCGCACCTCATCCAAAAATTGTTATACATCACAGAAATATACA